TTTTGAGACAGGGTCCCCCTGTAGCCCCAGTTGTCCTGGAACTCACTATGTAGACCAGGCTGGCCTTGAACTCACAGAGATCCACGTGCCTCTGCCTCCCAAGTGCTGGGATTAAAGGCGTGTGACACCACACCGGGCTGCAATACTTTTTGTGTTAGATTGCTATTACTATGACTAATAAAGCTTGGTTGGTTTTAAAAAGGCCCAAAATAAAAGCTGCCTACTTTATGGGCACAGATTATACAGCAGATGACACCTATATTGCTTGAGACCCCCTGCTTACTATTAAGCATGGAGGGCCATGAGAAAAGAGCAGAGGTGCTTCTTGGAATGGGTGCAAGGCCTGTGACATGAGCACAGACTTGGGGCTCCTCATAGAGCTGTACTTGCACATGCTCCCCATAACTGAGTATATGCTCTCTTCTCATCTGTCTCTCAGAAAGCTGGCCTCTCCTACAGCCTGAACTGAGGTCCCATTTGAATGAGTTTTCTTTGTCTCACTGGACTCCCTGTGATCAGCTGCATATGGCACTGTGGCCTGCCTGGGCCCGAGCTGCCTTCTGGTTACTCTGCCCAACTGAGGCAACTGTCCCATCTCTTTTGAGGGGAGTGAAATCCTGCCCTCATGCCAGGACAAATACATACACACAAATTTGTTTTGGCTTTTGTCAAGCTATTTCTAGAGTTTTAGGAAAATTAAATTATGCTTCTAGCTAAAATTTCTGTTTGAACATTTGTCTGAGGGATTAGATGTTAATAGTAAATACACGTAAGTGTGCTTGACTCAGATTTCCATTCTAAAAATAATGTTTCAAAAAGATCTTTCAGGACCACTCAGTTGATTTTATTTCTTCAGAAACACTTTGTTGTGTTAGGATGGCCAAAATCGCCTGGATTTTGTCATGTGAGAAGAAACAAAGGCTTGGTAGAAATGAAAGAATGAGGCAGACTCCTGGTCCTTGTGGCTCTGTCTGTATGTGGCCCAGTCCCTCGTACTTGTTTTGTTCCCAGCAGGAATTGAGATCAGTAGAACCCTCTCACTTTCATTAGAGCCAGAGCCAAGAATCTGTTCATTTCTTTTCCATCAGACTATCTATGACCTTTGACCTATCAATTTCTAGGCATTTCCTCTACAGTTCATACTGTGCCAGACTCCAGTCTGGGAATGGGGAGGGAAAGGATATACATAATTCCAGATCTATTTGTTATTGCTTAAGAGTTTACTGGTTTTAGCAGAGGGAAAAGGCTTTGTTTAAATTTTCATGGAGCATAATTAATGGTTATTGACTGGTAAATGAAGAACAGGTGACACTCTGGATTAGAAGATAAATGATCCTGTGTTCTGGTGTGATAATGGGTTAGTAATTTGCCACAAAGCCAAGGCCCAGTGCATCCCCTTGTAATGTAAGATCATGTCCAGGAGACAAAGGCCCCTGTGTGAGGAGGACTCAGCCCTTGCCTCTGTGTTCAGCTGCACACATTGATCTGCTCCATTTGTTCGCTGATGGATGGCACAATGGAGGCAAGAGTTCACCCATTCTCACCTTCCTGTTCACATGTGGGCCCACACGACCCATGACAGGTCAGGCCACAGGCTGTGAGCAAATCGCCACCCAGCTTTGGCTTCCGACCATACATGCAGGATTGGTTAAATGTTTTAGAGGTCAGTCTTCTCTTTTGTCTCTGAAGGAATCAGGGAGGAAAAGCACAAGTCATCCTACATTCTTTTGGTGCCCTTTAAGGATGTGACTGACTTAGTCACTTCCTCAGACACTTATTTACTTTCCGTCGTGACCTGATTACTAGGCCTCTCTCTCTCTCTCTCTCTCTCTCTCTCTCTCTCTCTCTCTCTCTCTCTGTTAACCTATAACCCCACCCTTGGTTCTCTATGAAGCTTAGGCTGTCTTCTAACTCATCACATATCTCTCTCTCTCTCTCTCTCACACACACACACACACACACACACAAATCTGCTTTTTCATCCATCCCACAGGAGGGAAAGCAAATCAGTTGAGGATAATGTACCAGATTTTCAGATTCTTCCCCATGAAAATGTCCCTCAGAGGCAAGTGAACAGTGCAGTTTCAAACCATGTCTTGAATTTATTTTGCATGTAAGGCCCATGAGGATTAAGGGTAATTTGATGCCATATAATTGACATTTGTCAGCTAAGTTGAGATGGGTATAAATGCTGTATTTGTAATATGCTTTCTTGTAACTATATAATTAACCTATCTGTTTTACAAATTTAATTTAGTGAAATCAAATACAACTTTAAATTTGAAACTTTCAAACAAAAACACCCTCTCATAATCTTCTGTTCAGTCTTTCAAATGATAAATTTGAATGCAAGAGGTTCAGGAGGCCTTGGTGAGAAGTTAAGTCTTCCTTGCTTGGTAAGCTGCCAGCGCTGATGGCTGTTCACAGCTGGACCAGTGAAGGAGAACACCCAAAGTACATCATCACAGACGACTGACTATACCTGATTCCATGCATGCCTTTTGGGATATGATGTGTGTTTGTCTTAAAAACCTGGATTCTACAATTGCTTCCACCTCACCATTAACCTCCAGTTCAGTATCCAAGCCACAAACACTTATTAACTGAGCTGGCACCCATGAATAACAAGATTGGTTAATCAAGGTGATGTTTAACTATGCACATTTGACTGCTGCTTTTTTC